ATTTTTTTTTTTTTTTAATTTTATGACTATGATTGTAATGGATAAGTTGAGTAGTTGATTATTAGAAAAAAAAAAAGTTGAGTAGTTGATTATTAGAAAAAAAAGAAAAAAAAAAACCCAAAAAAAAAGTTCATCAAAATGAATTAATCATTTTCAAAATACTTCAATTTGTCAAAGTGTGGACAGCGAGAAACATGAGAATTTGTGTCCAAATTGCACAAGCAATAAGAAAACATTTTATTTGGATTATGTGGTTTTTGCCCTTTTATAAAACTATGGTCCACAGTTTGCAGAACAGTTTGAACCCATTTTACATCGTAGATAAGATTACGCAATGAAATTAGAATATCATTTTAGCAAATATAAAGAGAAAATAAGATATAAAAAAAAAACAAGGCATCTCACTGGATATAAAGATTTCATTTTTTTTGAAATTTGTGGCTATAAAGAAAATAAAATTATAGTACAAGTACAACCAAAAAATACTCTCTTAAAATGACTTACACAATTTTTTGTATAAGACATCTTAAAGGTTAGGCGAGTTGGCCTAATATATGACGTGAACGAAAAAATATACTCGTATAATCAAATATCATATTTTTGTTAATATTGTTTACTAAAGTGTGACAACTTTAATAAAAATATATATATTATTTACGCAAAAAAGTATGTCTAGACTAACATAAGATCTATTGTTTCTCTTATGTGTCATCTTTAACAATTTGTTGTGTGAGTGGTCTAAGGCATGTTGATCCATTATTTAAAAAAATGCATGCTTATGTTATTAATGACACATTATTATTTATAATATTTTTCAGAATATGATTTTTAGTTTGAAAGTATGGTTAAAAAAATAGTTAGCTAATAGTTAGGCCTAATTAACAACAACCTATTTTTTTAATTTATAGGAAAATAATATTCACTCAATCACAACAAGACTCACAAATTCAATTATCTTATGCAAATAACTTCAAAAAATTAATGTTTTTTGCTTAATTTAGAGAGTGCACACATTTAAATGCATTTATAGGAAAACAAATTACTATATGAGTTAAAGTTGGAGGTTAATGTGATGTCATTTCATTTCATTTTCAATAATGTACAAGAGATTTTTTTTTTGTTTTCTTAATATTATTATTATTATATTATTTATTATTATTATTATTATTATTATTATTATTATTTGTGGTTTAACTGGTTTCTATAGGATTCCAAAGGACCCCATCAGCGCATGGGTCGTGACGGTTTCGACTTTTTTTCTTTTTTTAAATAAAAAAATAAAAAATTGAAAAGCTTATTGGCTTTTTCATTCATATGCTGTACCGCTTATTCATTGGTGGATGAACTATAATAATATACTATCCAGTGCTACTATTAAGTATTGTGCATACTAATAAATACACTTTTTATGTATAATATTTTTAAATTAAAATGTGATACTTTTAAAATAATTTAAATAAAAATATGATTTCTTATAATATGAGCATACATTTTTGTTACAAATGTATGGCGGTTCAATCTGTTTAACGGCTAGACAGACTCACACAAAATTTTTTGAGTTTCTAAAATTCTTCTGCGAGAATCCATAAATTCTTGTGTAATCAGCATAACCTTTAAAGGAGTTGATTCGTCATAAATTTGAAACAAAAAAAGCATACTTATATTAAAATGTCATATTTTTTATTTATTAATATAGTTTTGTAAAATATAATATTTGAGTTTGAAAGTATATTAACAAAATATATTTTGTCCCAACTGTTAGATTGCCCTAACAATAATGATTATAATAATGTATACATAGATGCAATGTATATAAAAAGTAATTCACGAGAAGTAAACTGTTATAAAGCATTTATCATTTCCTGAAAGTTAATTAGTCAAATGTTGAGAATTAAATGTTCCATATAACCTTTCAAGGAATAAAATAATATTTCCGTATAATATATTATAGATTGCTTACTTGCCCATCATGATGTTATAGAACAATGACCTTGGTGTATTGAAACACAAATTTAGATCATTCAATCATTCACTTATTTTATTCCATGTAGGTTCAATAATGTTGATGATAAAAATTTAAATAGAACTGTATGGCCTTTTATCTAGTCAATCAATAATATAACTTTTATCATTTCAATTATGCACGGTTGTCACAGTTTTTGTCTTACATAAGTATTAGACATTTTAGCCTCTTGGTTTATTAAATTTTCTCTTCGATTTTTTTGTCAAATTAACTTAATTCAAAATTTTGAGTAAAACGAGAGGCAGATTGTGCAGTCATACATTTATTATAAAAACATATATTTTTATATTTTCAAATGACATTTTTGTTTATATTGTTTATTATGATTGACCAGTTTTGTTATGGAGCCATCGGATGGCTCGGCTTATGGAGCTATCCACACTTATTCACCAATAGTGTATTGACACGTGTCCTGCAATAAGTATAATTTGGACAGGTGTCAATACATTAAGTGGTGGATGGCTCCATAAGAAAACCATTCGATAACTCTATAGAATTTTTGTATGATTGACTAACCATTAGACACGTCTATCAACAGCTTTATTAATTTTAATATAATACATATTTTTTTTGCAATTACTTAAGATGATGAAGATTGTATTGCTATTTAATTAATTAGCCTTCAATTAAGGACCATGGGCTAGAGATATTGACAATTTTTTAGCAACATGCTAATATAGTATCTTAATTCATTAAAATGTTTACATAACGTAAGGAATTCAAGAAAAGTTATGAATTCATATGTTGAGAATCAGTGCCAACTTTTATATTAATTTATGACGATTGGATTGAAAATTGGAAGATATAATAAGGCTAATGTAAACATTTTATATGTCATTGTTTTGGTTGGTGATTTTATCTATGGTTTTGCAGCAATTAGGTTTGAACACTCGTGTAGATTATGAGTTTTAAAATTGTAAACCACTTGCTATTTTAAATTATGTATGGGTCTGTTATTATTTTGAAAAAATATTTTTGTTTTGTTCGGTCAGTATCTATCATTATATAAAAAGAATAACCTTTTTACAAATTTAGAAACTTTTTCCCGCCAAAATCATTAAATATATCCTAATATAGTAATTGTCGGACAAATCTAAATAGGCAAAAAAATCGACATATTTTTTTTAGTTTATCAAAACCGTTTTTTGACAATAAATGTTTGTTTTTCTTTTTCCTATTTTTAGTATAAATCTACACGTTTATCTCTTCTGTTACAAAATCCCATTGCATACGTCTCCCGTGTTTTAAAAATTTTATCCCTTATCTATACAGATTTAAAAAAATAAAATAAAATAGAAACCAATTCATAATTACTACTAGAAATCCATTATCTTTAAAAAGAAAAAATAAAATAAAATAGAAACCAATTCATAATTACTACTGAAAATCCATTATCTACTTTAAGAAGCTAAATTTTATCGGTCTAATTACTAATATTTTTACAAATATTATAAGCTCACCATACAAAAAAGTATAATAATAATTTTGAAATGGTGTGTAATCAAATTTTTTTATATTATCTTATACAAAATAATTTTACATTGTTTGACCCCGAATCTTTAATTTATAATTATTATTTAAGTTTTGTTTATCTTCCTCTTTAATTTATAATTATTTTTTTTGCTTCCTCTTTTTAAATAGGATCAATAGTAGTTTCCACTTCGGTCATTGAGTGACTCAAACTCGAGGTCTATTTATAATATTGTTAATTTAATATTATTTCCG